CTTCTCAGGAGGTAGTCAGCTGTGATGGCACAGTGCACCTGTGGGACCAGTACACAGGTACGGAATATCAAGCACAGTGCATGACAGCTCACTAATAGGAATGTGCATCTGGAGCTTATAGTTTGTTTGCGTACTTTTCTATGTAATTAATTTTTTTTGTCCTTAGGCAAGCAGATCCGCTCATATGAAGCCGTGGACGGAAAGAATCCGATTACAGCTGTCACTACGATGCCAGCTCCACACTGCAGTGTTGTGTTTGGGAGTGCAGATTCTGTTCTCCGCTTCATTGATCCTCGCAAACCAGGATTGCAGGTAGCAATTTCACATAGCAAGCTCATTCTGTCGAGACCTGTGCTGTTTAATATCTAGAAATGATTAGCTGCTAGTGATTACAAAAACAGTAGCACTTTTTATTTTTACACTTCTCCACTAAATACTTATTTCAGTCTTGACATTGACAAATCTTTCCCTGTTTCCCCAGCATGAATTTCGTCTGGCATATAGCAATTTGAGTGCTGGGCTCATCCGCTACCTGGCAGTGAGCCCTTCAGGACGCACAGTGGCGGCAGGTTTCTCTTCTGGGTTCATTGTTCTGCTAGACGCACGCACCGGGCTGATTCTAAAGGGCTGGCCAGCTCATGAGGGAGATATCCTCCAAATGAGGGTACATTTGCAGTGTGTGTTCATTTTTAGATGTAGTTTTCTATTTGTTACATCTCTATCACTGAATAGAGATGAATCTGGAACACGACCTCAGGAGGAACTCCGGAGAATTGAGTCCGGACTTTCTCCAGAGGTTGCCTTTTATCCATGAATATGGAGCAAGAGACTTTGCTCAGAGGCATTGACAACAGCAACAAATCCTCCGGAGGATTCAGGCGAGGGGTGGTGCAGCAGTCAAAGGCAGGACACAATATTTATACTTCTGTGGAAATACCATGTTTTTTAATTTTTTAATTTATTTTTTTACAGTACATCAACACTAGCGCCGGTTCTTATCACCACCAACTCTCTTGACATCTTCGTGTGTCTTCTTTGTCCTGAGATATCTGTACATGTTTTTGTGTCTGTCGCGTGTTAAGAAAAGTAAACAACACCCCCACTCACTCGCTGTGAATCCTATGGAGGATCTCCTGCTGTGTTCTCATATTTATACTCATGGGCCAGATGGAGAAAGTCTGCAGAAATTCTAAGGCAGCAGACGCAGAATCCAGAGAATCTCTGAGTTTGGTGCATGAAAGCATCTTGGGTAACATATTAGTCATTGGTGTGCAATTAATAGAAATAGTTAGTTTAACATTTCTTTTACATTATGTAAATACTCTTCATGTTCTTAGACTGGGGAAGTTAACATTAGTTTCAGCAGAATTCATAAATATATAGATGAGGGATTTTAGAATAGTAAATAGTGTAAGAAATGCTCATAGGCTTATAATTAATGTAAAATGCCTAACGGTCCAGAAAGCAGGAAGAGAACTTGTAAAAACATGAATGAAAACTTCTGACTAAGAAAACAGTTTGCTGTACCTGGTAACTGAGGTAGCCTAAAATAATTTTGAATAAACATAAAACGCTATTAGTTGCAGCATATAAGTAATTTTACCCTTATTCTTAAACAAACATTCTGATATTTTCCGAAAATGTTTACATTCAGAGCCTCAAGTTTCAAATGCAAAAGTTGATGGAGCACCCTGACACAGACAAGTTAGCTAATGATTTTTGTGAAAATATCATATTGGTGGTTGACCTGTGGTATGTTAAGTGCCGTTTGTAAAGTTAATACTTTACTTTTTTACATTTTAACAAATTGCAGCCACATCAAAGACTTCACCGACAAGGTTTTAGTTTGTTGCAATGGGGCTGTTTTCAAAAACGAAAGCAAAGCACAATCAGACTTTCCGGTAAACAAACTGCAATTCACAACCCACGCAGTGCACATTAGTCAGGTACTCACTGTTGACTCTCTTTATCTGACTAACCCACAATATATGTGAATAACTAACTTTTGTCTGCATTGATTCATGGGTTATTTAATGCTAAAACCTATTTTGAATGCACAATGAGAGTTTTTGGAAGTTTTCTCCAGCACTGACCAAAAAATGAGACGCTTCTTGGAAAAACATCACATCGTCTGCTAGAAGGTGTCTCAGTCAAGTGACAAAAATTCAAGGAGACAATCAGCCAAGTGGCTTTTGACATCCCCCAGAGGTAGTGATCCAGAGATGGTGAAAGTTGTACCCAGCAAACTGTTGTCAACAGAACGCAAGGATGAGCAAACTTTATTTAACCCCGATTTAGGTCAAGGATTGTATCTCTAGTTTTAAAGGCACAAGTTTAGGCAAACATGGACACAAGTTACTCATTAGAAAGCTCATGGCGGTTCTCATTTGCACGTTCATATTACTCAGACTTTCCCTCCCCCGACGCTTATCAACCAGTGGCTGCTGTCATATTAATCTAGAAAATTAATTTCGATCACACTGCTTGTCAGATGTTTTAATATTTTCATTTAAGTTCCATAGAAGGACAGTCAGTCAGTAACTAGACGATACAAGCGAGAAATGAAAAGAAGACAATAGATCCGTGTGCTGTTGTTGTCTTTTACACTTTTAAATATTATGTTTAGTTCAGGTTTTTATTATATTCTGTAATTTCAGCATGTTTTCAAAGAAATGTTGTAGTTGCATTGCATCGGTATTAATTATAATTTAATATTCTATTCTATTTTGCCATAACTGGGATATGGCTTCAGCAGTCAGTGACTTTTTTTTTCTTGTTTTTTCTTTTCAGGCTGCTGAGGGAAACTTGGTCATCACTTCATCCACTGATTACACACTTACTGTGTGGAAAGATCTGGAAAACAAGCCTATACGCCAATACAAGTCGCAGTCTGACCCTATCCATGCCTTTGACCTTTACGGTTCGGAGATTGTAACTGGAACAGTGGCTAACAAGATTGGGGTGTACTCCATGGCAGATATCTCCCTGAGTCCTGTCAGCAGCACTAAGCTGAGCTCGGAGAACTTTCGTGGAACTCTGACCAGCCTGGCCGTCCTGCCCACCAAGAGGCTTCTGCTGCTGGGCTCTGAAAATGGCGCAATTCGCTTATTGGCTTAAATCAGTGGTTCCCAGCTACACTCGTACTGCTGACCTTTTAAAGCTAATTTACAAAGACAGCAGGTGTCAGAAGTCTCTCTGTCCCTTTTCCTGTGCTTGAGGTCAGTTGTAATGATTGGGATGGATGTCACATTTTCTAAATTGCTCTTTGAACAAAGTAGCACCAGTAGTGGTGTTTCTACAAGCTTCGCGTCTACGGAATCTCGCCTCTCCGGCTGTTGGGACTGCATTTAATGGCCACACTATGATGTACAGTAAATCCCATGATTTAAAAAAGCCTATGTATGTATAAAAAGTATATAATTGGAAACTCTTGACAAGGTCAATTCTTCTTTTGACTTGGTCCACTATTCTGTTCAAAAGAATGAATCAGAAGCTCAGGAAGGTGGAACCAAACCTGGTTCTTTTATAGTGTTTACACTTTCCAAATAGATGCATAACAACACCAAAAATACATCGACCTCGCGTTTCATTTCCCTTGACATCAGAATACATGCATATCCAAATGCACTGATTAAACTATGCAGTATTTGTGTACAAGTGTGTCAATATATCTCCATTTTCCACAAGAGTTTTTTCAAAGTAGGTTGTTTGTACGCTTGCTGTTTCGATGACGTCTTAGAGTGGAGAAACTTCAGCTGTTGTCACTCATTTAAGTCAGTTACCAACGCACAGCCTTTATTCTACTGCACATGTATGGCCTGAATTGTAACATTTAGATTCTCACTCAGATTTTAAAGACTGAATGTTTTTATCTACTAATAAATTACTTGAACTTTGCTTTAGGATTTTCTAAACTGTGTTTAGGGATTCTTGATTTCCGCAGTTAGCACCAGTAGCAACATTGGGCGAGTGGGAATCTCGGCAGATGCCATTTGGACTGGGTGTGTCAGTTTGTAGACACAACTTTCTAACTTCTCACTACAACAGCTGACATAGTCAATGCCAAGATAAACAGTTTGTATTTTAACATTTATATGTAACTGCACATGAACATGTCGAGAAAAGTTATACATCAATAAAAATGTGGTTCAACTTGCTCCTTATTGTGTAATACAAATTCATGTACACTAGTGATTTATGTTCCTTAAATCAAGCACAGTTTTCATAAAACCCATAATGAATCTACACAGGGTTTCAAAGCCCAGTATTATCCAACAATCAAAGCTTTGCTCTTTGTATGATTTCACCACTGTTGTAAAACACATTTTGCCTACTTTTCTAATTATTTGCCCAAAGCTCAAAATGCTTTGACAAGTGTACCACACTTTTGATATGTTGTGTTTTTTGTAAACCTGAAGTGAAAAGCTCAATCGTGAAACAATCAGTTTGATTTTAAAGTAAAGTTTGTAGTTGCACGAACAATGTTGTTACAACAGATCCAGGATTTATGTGGACATTTTAGGAGAAATGCTTATTTATTAACTGGTTTAATAAAAAATACTACCATCTTGTTTTGTGGTACAGTTGTTTTGTGTGTGATTCACCTGGATTCATCATAACTCCCTCTCTATCCAACCACTGAGTCACTGGAGTTCAGATTGGACAAAGTCCTCTCTTGTGTTTGCAGTTGAATGTCATGTGATGTAGAAGATATCTGCTTAGAAATGAGATCTAATCTGCTGAATATGTGTCTTTTCGTCTTTATCTCTTTAAGCCTGTACGGACATTTTGATCATAACGTACAAACACATCTTTAGTCGAAGCAGTCAAGTCTTTATCAGTTTAGTGGTTGTATCTCAAAGCCAGATGTTTCCGGGAAATGTTGGTTTGTGCTGCCTGTCATCTGATTTCTGACACTGAAGTCATCAAGTAGTATTTGTTTTTCCACACAGTTTGGTTAACCAAGCTTTAAGCTGTCAAAACATTTAGATGTGTCACGAATTTATCAGCAGCCCGGTGACAGACAAAATAGCTGAGTGTGTCAGGCTTCCATATTTAACCTTGGAAGAGTCTCAGTAGCTGCATTTACAAACAAATAGTGGCTTATACGAGGCCCCAATCAATGTAAGTTGATATTTAACTGTTTGCTGTGCAAATGCCAATCTTTGACTCTGAGGAATTCTGCCATCCACGGTCACTTAGTCGCTCCTTTTTTGGACAAGGCAGCAAGTTTTTTTCTATTTAAATTTAAGGTAAGATCAAATACTATATTATTCTATAATATTATATTATATATATAATATTTAAATACTGTTTTGGGGACATTATTGTACATTTGAGTGATTTGAAGTTTTGATGGACTAATAGAAATAGCGCTCAGTTATTCGTGAATTTTCATGTTTGTGTTAAGTCTGCAAAAGGGGCTAGGGTACTATATGAGTCATTACTTAGCGATATGTTCTTTTGAATAATAATAGAGACAAATGGAATTTCTGCCCCATGAGGTGAATAGTTAAGTACAGCGTTTTTATTAAATAATAAATCTCAGATATTAGGATGTGTTGTAGGACTGTCTGTGTGACTACACAGACTTTGCAGTTTAATAATGACATTCCTCGTGCATTGTCTACAACAAGCATATTTTATGTTATAGGCAAATTTCCAGTTGTTCTTGGTTCTTCTGACAGAGTGTGAATAATTAAGGAGACAGTTTAAGACCTGCAGAAAATATAAAGATAAACAAAGGTGAGACTGTCATGTTTTATGACTTGATTTTTTTTTTTTGTAACTAAAACTGGAGGAGTAAAAACATGTACTTCGGAGGGATGTTGATTTATTTTACAATATACCAAAGTTTTTTTTAACAAGAGAGGTGTATTTATTGCTCCATAAAAGTGACAGACATTTTTCAGCCAACATCATTTCTCTTTTCTACAGTTTTACGTTGTAAGGACATGGACCTCCGTCTGACACTCCTGTTGATCTATGTCTGCAGCCATGGAGTCACTGTAAAGCACTGACATAACAAATAAATGAATCATAGCCTGAAGATTACAGTGTAATCTTTTTTGATTTTACAGGTTGTATAGATTATATTGTGTTCTTTCTACTCAACAGAGCATTGAGGTGACGGAAGATGTGTCAGTTCCCCTGGTGCCTCTTATTCCTTTAATGCCAAGCCAGCCTATAGAGGTGAGAGGCCCACTGGAAAACTTTGTAAAAAGCTCACTGTCACAGCAGCGTGCTGCTCATCTGACTTCACAGTTTGGAAAATATGTCCTTGTGCTGAACATTTTATCCTATTTCTGCTTGCAGAACACAGATAATGAAAGTACAGCACAACCAGAAATTGCAGATAACACAGAAGCAACAGCAATTGTGAGTCCGCCCAACGGGGACTCGTCAGAAGAAGTGCAAGAAGAGGGCTGTCAGTCCATCGGCCGGAGCCCAGAATCGAGGGGGGCCATCGCTGCTTCCGTTCAGCGGCTGGGTGTGCAGCTGCTGCAGAACCTGCAAACGACGCCAGAGCAGCCAAATGTCATCATATCTCCTTTCAGCATATCACTAGCCCTGTCCCAGCTGGCTTTAGGTGTGCAAGTCCCTCTGTAGCTTTTACATGACACATTGTCCCAAAGCAGCTTGTGTGCTACACACACTGCATGTAATTACCACGTTTGATTAATCGTGTCAGCAACTTGTCCCAGTTTATAGTCGCCTGGAGACTGTCACTGCTCTCATCCAATTATTGTGCCCCTCTTCTGTACAGGTGCAGTAAATGAGACAGAGGAGCTGCTGATGCATCATCTCCACCAACACACTCTCCCCTGTTATCACCACGCTCTGCATAACGTCTTAATGCAGCTCAGAAACAACGATCTGCAAATTGCCACACGCATCTTCCTGCGCCAAGGTCACTCCCTAAAAAGACAAAAATATTTTTAACTCTACTAAAAGTTGAGACTACAGACCTGCACCTTGCAGAAAGTGTAGCTGTTTATCAAGTGCTGAACTAAAGAGCAGGTTTAAGAGGAATGGAGTCTGAGAAAAGTGTGTGTGTGTGTGTGTGTGTGTGTGTGTGTGTGTGTGTGTGTGTGTG